CATGCCCGGCTGGGCCACTGTCCTCCTCCTCCTCCTCCTCCTCCTCCTCCTCCTCCTCCTCCTCTTCCTCCTCTTCCTCCTCCTCCTCCTCCCTCCTCCTCCTCCCTCCTCCTCCTCTACTTCCTCTTCCTCCTCCTCCTCTTCCTCCTCCTCTTTTTCCTCCTCTTTCTCCTCTTCCTCCTCCTATCCTCCCCCCTCCTCCCCTTTTTCCTTCTATTCTCCTCCCCTCTTCTTCCTCCTCCCCCCTCTTCCTCCTCTTCCTCTTCCTTTTTAAAATTTTTCTTTTCTTATTATTTTACTGTCCAAATCCTGGGGCTTGAATTCAGGACCTGGGCACTGTCCCTTGGTGCTTTCCGCTCAAGGCTTGGTGTTGTCACTTGAGCCGCATGCCCTAGCCCTCCATTCTGGCTTTTGAGTGGTTAACTGGAGGTAAGAGTCCCATACACTTTCCTCCCCTGGCTGACTTTGAACAACAATCCTCAGATCTCAGCTTTCTGAGTAGCCGGGATGACAGGTATGAGCCACCAACATCGGGCTTCCTTTTAAAAATAAAAGAATGAATGGAATTTGCCACAAGCGGTATTTGCTACATTCATAATGTGGTACAACCATCACTGGCATCTACTTCTGTCATTTTTTAAATTGTGACAATACTGTACAGAGGGGTTACAATTACATGGGCAAGGTAATGAGTGCATTTCTTATCCTTCTGCCATTTTTAATCACTTTAAAAACAATGCACTCATTACCTGACTCATGTAATTGTAATCCTTTGGTACACCGCTTTTGTAAGAACCATAAAGTAAGTGAAAAGAAAAGAACCCCATGCCAGTTGGAAGGTCATTCCCGACCCCTCCCTGCCCCCTGGCCTTGGCAAGCACTAATCCGCCTTCTCTCTCCACGGTCTGCCCTTTCCAGACATCTCACTGAATGGCTTTATATAATGAACTCCTGGCTTTTAGGGGCTGTGCTCTACCCGAACCTTCCTCCCGCTCATGCTGGGCGCTGGGGGCTGGCCTTCGGTGGATTCAGCACAGGTATACTGGTCTTAGGTCACACCGCTCCTTTCTGGGAGCCTCAGTTGCTGTCCCTGTAGAAAATGGACGGTTAGGATTTGTGTTCATGAAGCCTCTCCCAGTGAGGGCCTGTCTGTCCCTGCCTTATAAAGTGGAGGCAAAGCCTCCCGTGGGAACAAGGAGGCCAGTGGGAGCAGGTGACCCCAGGAATCAGACCGGGGTTTTAGGGCGGAACTGTGGTTGGTCTTGCTGATGGAAAGGCCCCGGCTGGGGATGCGTAGTCTGGACTCCTCCAGGTGAGGCCGGGAAGGAGCAGGAAACTGTCGGCCAGAGGCTCTGAGGCTCCTCAGAGGCTGGGGAAACTCTGAGGCCAGCAGCATCAGGGGACAGTCCCTGGGGATCATGTCCAGCCATGACCTCCAGCATAGTGGAGGAGCATCATGGTGAGTTGTTTCTTTTGCTCAGAAGACCTGATCTTCAGTGGAGTGAGTGATCTTCCGGGGCTTCTCTGCCTGCCCCATGGCAGCTCAGTAGCCCTGAGTGGATCCTCTGAGGCTGGTACACAGCAGACTGCAGGTTAGGCTGTAGCAGCACTGACTGTACCGTGAGTTTTCATAGCATTAACTGTACCGTGAGCTGCAGCAGCGCTGACTGTACATGGACTGTAGCAGCACTGGCTGTACCATGGGCTGTAGGAGCACTGATTGTTACCTGGGCTGTAGCAGTACTCACTGTACTGTGGGCTGTAGCAGCACTGGCTGTACAGTGAGCCGTAGGAGCACTGATTGTTACCTGGGCTGTAGCAGTACTCACTGTACTGTGGGCTGTAGCAGCACTGGCTGTACAGTGAGCCGTAGGAGCACTGATTGTTCCGCGGGCTGTAGCAGCACTCACTGTACTGTGGGCTGTAGCAGCACTGGCTGTACAGTGAGCCGTAGGAGCACTGATTGTTCCGCGGGCTGTAGCAGCACTGACAGTGTCTCGCTGTACTGACTTGTCTCGATCCACTCCTTGACCATAGCTCGGTAGTCACAGCTTCACAGTGGCTGCTGTTCATGGACTAGCACAGAGTAACAATTTTCATGGTTGACAATGAGCGCAGTAAGGGGATGGAGTAGCCGTAGGAAGCTCCATCTGCCAGGCTGTGGCAAGTATTGGCTGAAGGATATTCCACCCAGACCACATAGCACGGGCCTCAGCGTCCCTAGAACGAGGACAGTCGGCTTGTACCGGCCTGCGTAACTGGATGTGTGGCACGTGGAACAGAACGATGAGTCTCAGAGTGGCTAGGTGTCCTGTGCGCCCACCCTCTGGGTCACCAAGGCGTGGTCCAAGCAAGGTCCTGGATCTGGGGGTTCTGTCGGTGTAGACTCTTCCAACAGGAGGAAGTGGAGGCATGGCTCAAGTGGTAGAGCAGCAGCCTTGAGAGAAAATGCCAAGGGACAGCACCCAGGCCCTGAGTTCAAGCTCTAGGACTGGCACATACACAAAATTGTGTGTGTGTGTGTGTGTGTATGTGTGTGTGTGCCTGCATGCGTGTGCACACATGTGTATTTCCCAAAAATATCAGGTTTTCTGAGATTCAGAGAGCTGACACACTTACCAGAGTGACTCCATGTCCCCATTCGCTGGCACTGGCCACAGCTGTCTCTCAGTGATTTGAGGACCAGCGGAGGACGGGGAGGGCCGACTCCAACAGCTCTGAGCAGTTCCCTGGCCATCCCCAGGCAGAGCGGGCAGTAAGTCAGCAGGAGTGGCGGCTCCCCACCTGGCCCGCTTTGGCGCCTGCTAGCTCCCTGGGGCCACTGGACAGGTGGGTCTTTCCTCAGAGACCTCTCACTGCCCCTCATGCTGGCTCTTGCTGGGACACACTATGGTAGTCAGAGTAACAAGGGCCGTGTGGCTCCTTAGAGCTGCTGGGAGGTGGCATTACCTTCCAGCCAAGGTCTGGTTGGGTTAAGCAATGAGCTCAAGGGGCAGTGTGGACATGTGGTAGGCCAGGGATGCATGGCCAGCTCTGGGCTTCAGTGCATGCACCCCTCACAGCAACCCTCAGCTGCCGTCCCGTGGTGACGTAGTCAGTTAAGTGACTGGTGAGGATGTTTTGCTGATTTCAACTGTCTTCAGTCAGAAATACACACACACACACACACACACACACACACACACACACATATACATACTATTACCACCACCAAACATACACACACATTCACTTATGAATGCATATTTACTTTCAACCTGCCCACTTTTCTTTTCTCTACCCAACCATCCATCAGTCCATCCACCATCCATTCACCCATCTATCATCCATTCATCTAACCATTCATCTGTCCATCCATCATCCATTCATCCACCCATCCACCCATCCATCCACCCACCCATCCACCATCTACCTCCACCCATCTATCCATCCCTCCTTCCCTCCCTCCCTCCCTCCTTCCTTCTACTCACCCAGTCATCCCACCATCTGTCTAACAAACATTTAACCCTGGGCATGCATCCATGATCTTCCATGATTTCTTTTCTGTCCTCACACGGTCCAGGGGGAATGTCACCAAGCAATTAGAAGTCCCACACACCAGAGGAAAGTGCCGTGGAAGTGCTTGGACGGGTAGCTCGCCCTGGTGTGGCTGGTGAGAGGGTTGCAAGCTGTGGAAAGGAATCTACCTGCAGTGAGACCTCAGGAAGGGATTTTCCTAGGGAGAGGAAAGGAGCCAAGGCCAGGCTCAAGAATAAGAGCACAGTGTACTCCTTGGTGCCCTGGGGACTTGTTTTATGGTTTCTTTAGCTAAAATCCAGGCTCGACACTTGTACAAGTTTTGTCCCACGTTGGAGGAAGGTGGCTTGGGCTCAGGGTTCTGGCCCACGCCTCCGCGGTGGCGGTGGCGTTCATCTTCACTTTGGGACTGCGTAGCCGGGTGCTGTTCTATAACCTGCTCTGCTCACCTGGCCAGGCATCCCATGCCTAGTCACACGTGTCACCTCTGTGACATTCAAGCCTAAGGCTGCTGGCCTCTGAGCAGATGGGCCTTGTGTTCCAGGAGCCCTGGCTGCAGATAGTGGGGCAGGGCGGGAGGCCTCCGCTCTGCATTTCCCCGATGGCCAAGGGCAGCGGCTCTGGGTTGTATCACTACCCAGATCAAGGCAAACGTGTACTAGACCATCGCTCATCTAACTTACGGTCCCTGCCAATTCCATGTTAGCAGATGTGTTTGGAACTGGAGGTAATGGGCCGTATCATGCCCCAGAGCTGGAGAAATGACTGACGATGATGTCACCCTTTGGCTTTTCATGGAAATTATTAATAAATCAGTAATTCTATCTGCAGCGATGTTGTTGTGTTTATAAATATTTAATTTACCTTCAGGGGCCCACATTTCTCCATCTTTGCCTTAAACTCGGCTGACATTGCTCTTATCTGAAGCACTGTTGGATAGCGCCACGTTATCAGTGGTGAGAAAGGCTAACCGCTCTCTCTTCTTCTCTCTACTTCATAAGGCTTTATCTTTTCTTTTTAGTCTTTGTGGATTAGCACAGGGGGTTGGGAGTCAAGCTGAGTGAACACAACGTCTCTTGTGACAAAGCTGAAAGATTCGTCCACCTTCAGGAAAAAAAAAAAAAAAAAACAGACTAAACTTTCCAATTTTGACCCTCCCTAAGTGGGCCTCTCTCTCCTGCTTCAAATGAATGACATTTAGACTCTGAAAAGGGTGTCTGATGTTTTTCTCCCACAGAGAATTTTTTTTTTGCTCCTTGCCACCAACTCCTCTTTTGAAACCCAGAGCTTTGATTGTGATTGGATGGCAGGTTTGAGTAGAAAGGACTCAGAAAATCAAAATAGAAGCCGGGTCCAAAGACCAACGTTTTTCTAGCAGAGACGGAGTTCCAGCCTGTCAAAGGGAGACAGACAGCAACTTTCTTTCTTCTCAGGGTCCAACATGAGCTAATTGTTGTTATTATCTTTTTATTCTTCTGTTTCAGGAAATTGCAGCTTATTTAATAACATTTGAGAAACACGAAGAATGGCTAACCACATCCCCTAAGACAAGGTAATGTCCCCGATCTTGCAGTTTTGTTTTTTTTTTCAAGTTTGTGCGATGAATGGATTGATTGATTTCTCGTGGATTACCTGATGAGCTGATCCATGTAAGACAACAAGTTGGCAATGTCACCCTGATGGCCTGTGATGCGAGGTCTCATTAATGGGCCCCGGATTGTGATGGCGAATGCAATCAGAAGTCATCCAAATTGGAATTTCTGATCTGGCGGCTCTTGGGGCTGGATCCGTCAGCGCAGATGTCCAGAGGCGTTTGTAGCATCTGGGGGTGTTTATTTGGTGGGGGGCGTGCAGAGAGGGGCTCACCTGCCACCTGTACTCCGAAGCAATGTCTTTTTTATTTATTTATTTTTACAGAGGAACTAGCTTAACTGCCCATATCTATCACATTGTGTTTTACTAACAGAAACTTGAGTTATTCCTGGTCGATTGGAAGCACAGACCCCCAAATCAGAAGCCATGGCTACGTTTTGTTGTTTATTAGGCCGTAAATGTCCTTGAACCTGCTCACTGCCACAAACGCTTAACTTCTCTCTGCGCTTGGGAATTGGCAAAAATGGAACTGACCTGTGTTTTGTGGCTGGGAGGGATGTTATTATTTCTGAAGAATGGTGGGATTGGGATTTAGGGCTCCTCTGAAAGCTAGCTTCCTCCCTCCATCCCCAACCCTGTCAGGTTTTGGGGTTTTTTTTTTTGATGGGTTATGGTCTAGAGCTTTGGAAATTCATGGTCAGTCTCTCCCAATTGTGTTCGTTAACTCGAGGAGTCTCAGCTGAAGCGTGGCCTGCAGGGAGACTGGGCTGCAGGTGTGGCTGCCACAGGCCAACGCAGAGACCATTTTCCTCACACAGAGGCCCTGGAGCCCGTGGGCTTATCAGCGGAGCGTGAGAGGGGTCCTTGTGTCCTCTGCGCTCTTGTCATGAAATTGACTTGTTTGTATTCTCTGAGCCACAAGGAAGAAGTCTCATCTATGAGAGTCCTCTCTCATGCTAGAAGCCATTTCAAGTTCTCACTTCACGAGGCTTAGACATTTGCTGGTTAGTGTTCTAGACTGAGGAATGGTAGAGTGTTTTACTGGGAGTCTCTTCTTCCCCCGGGGAGGCCTGATGGCTGTGGTAGAAGCCCTCTGCCAGTGTCCCAGCTTGTGGGACTGTGATTCCCTTTCATAAAGCCAAATAGTTTGTCTCAGTCTGCTTTTGCTGGGATGATACTGTGTAAGAAACAACCCCTAGATGGGGGTCCCTTATTACAACCAACTTCTGTTTCCTGCTCATGGGTTGCCTGTGGTTTGGGACTGCTCCAACCATCCTTCATGGAAGAATCTAGCTTAAGGAAGACTGCCTTTTCATGCAGGAGGGTATGGCTGAAAAACCCAAGGAAACCCATGTAGACACATCTGTTCACAAGTCCAGTGACCAAAGTGGGGTCCAGGGCTGAGCTCAGTAAGAAGGGGCTCACGGCAGGCCTGGGGAATAAAGATCCGGTCCACACCTGGGGGAACTTGCCATACTGCGGCCTGGAAAGCCCAGCACTTGCATCTCTGCTTTTATTTTTTTTCCCCTGGGGGTGGGGGACATCTCGGGTGAGGCAGTCTCCCCAAACGTGAATGAAGGTCGGAACCCACTGGAGGACTTGTTAGAACGCGGGTCACTGGGCTCGCCCACGTTAGACCTGGCAGGACTGGGGTGGAGGCTGAGAGTTGGTCGCATTGGACAAGTTCCCAGGTGATGGGCTGTGTCTGGTCCCCAGTCTACCCAGTTAGGCTGGTTGGAAGTCTCTGGGGAGGGGGAGGAGGCGTGTCTGCTTTCCGCATCTGCGCAGTGTTTTCCTGGTCCCAGGAGCCTCTGACCGCCAGCCCCGGGGACTCTCCGTGCCTCTTCTCTGCTCTGTGAGCTGCTCTTTAAATCTAAGTGGAAGGAGAAGAGCCTCTTGAGCCCCTGTGAGGATGTCTGTGATCCAGCTTGCACAATTTAAGTTTCTACTGAGAGGTGGATGTCATCTGCGGTGATGCCGGCTTGCTGACTTCCCTGTGGACAATGGGCCAGGAGATTCCCCTCCCCCCACCCCCTACTTCCAGGTCACAGAGGCTCTAGGCAAGCCAGGAGAAGGGACAGGGAGGGACTCCTGTGTTGACAGGTTCAGCTTTGAGCTGTAGCAGCCCTGCCACTCAGTAGCTTTGTGGCAGTGAGGAAACTGTTTTGGCTCTTCACTCTTTATTTATTTACTTAGTTTTGTAGTGCTGGGGTTTGAAATCAGAGCCTTGAAATTGCCAGGCAGCTGCTTTACCACTTGAGTCACATCTCCAGCCCTGTTTGCTTTGGCTGTTTTTCAGTTAGAGCCTCACACTTATTGTTTGAGGTCAGCCTTGGACCTTGATCCACTTTCCTGTCATAATCCCACATAGCTGGGATTACAAGCACGTGCCACAGTGCCCAGCCTGCCTACCTGCCTGCCTTCTTTTCTTCTCTTTCCCTCCCTCCCTCTTCTTCCTTCCTTCCTTCCTTCCTCCCTCCCTTGTTTCTTCTCTTTTCTATTCTTTCTTGATAGGATCTCTCTGTGTAGCCCAGAGTTGGCTTTGAACTCACAATTCTAGAGCTTCAACCTCCTGTGTGCTGACATTCCAGACACGCACCACCACACCTGGCTCCGTGTTTTCTTCTTGTTGTAGAAAGCGGAGTTTCTGCCGATCCTGTCCTCGCTGGCTTAGCACAGAGGCTGATCATGGTGATAGTCATGACTTTGGGTCAGGTTTCCTACATGGGCTGTTAATGTTCTTTTCATTCCTAAGGGTTAGGCCTGTTTGGAGGCCTCCACCTGGGAAGGCAGGTGCCAGATTCTCTCCAGACTCTGGAAGGATGGATTTCTTTCCTCATAAAGACAGAGGGGTAAAGACAGGACTCCTATTAGTGCTATAATATGCACTCTGTGTTTATACTTGAAAGCTTCTCATCCCAGGAGAAGAAAAAGTTGCCTTGGTTGTTTAAGGACCTTCCTAAATTAGTTGTTGAGTTGTGTTAGGATCCCCCACCCCCCAATCTCCAGGATTGAAATTAATTGGTGTGGTTAACTGCTGAGTGCATACAAACTGGCCTCCTGGTATTAAAGAATTAATGACACCAATACTCCACTGAACGAGAAGGCAATACAACTTCTGTTTGCCCCCGCCACCACCACCACTGCTAATTTCATTTTAGAAAATTAATAAAAATGAATTGCACCACTGACATTTATAGAGTTTCCTAATAAAATGATACATTGTTTGTGTGGAGGAATCCCTATTAAATTAATTGTTGTAATCAGTTCACATATAGATGTTGGTATAGGCGCTGCAGAGGGACCTGCTGCGGGTCTCCGAGGCTTGCTGGGGGCTGGGGGTTATAAATAGAGCCCTTGTGCAGATCCTGCCCTAATTACAGAGGAGGCCCCAGGAGCCCGGCTCACCTGTTTAATAACAAGGCCTGCTATGAGGAGCGAGCAGGGTTGAAGAGTGAGGGTGTTATCACCAGCAGCCACGAATGTTGACTGTCCCAGCATGGAGATTGTGTTCTGAGCAGGGGTCCTTGAGCCTGACCAATCACCCGTCAGGATGTCTTCCTTTGACTCTTGCTGTATACTCAGAACTGTAATAATACCATTTAGAGGCCATGGTGAGAGGACTCCCCATCCTGCCTGATGAATTTAGGATCTTGGGAAGAGGCGTGCATGTCCTCTGTCTAGCATGTTCTTCCAGCTTCTCCTTCAGGCCCTGATTTGGCTGGCCTTTCTCTGTGAGGTCGCTTCCCCATGCGCCTCTCCCCTCCGCCAGTTTTCCATCCAGGCCCTCTTCTCTTGTTTCTTGTGTTACACTTTTCAGGCATAAGGTGCTGTCGGATACATGACGTATATTACAGTTTATTTTTTGCTTATTTATTCATTATCTGACCCTCCCCCCTTCATGTATGACTAAAGGAAGTTTGTTTGATAGAGCAAGACGTGTAGTACTTCTATGAATATTATGGGATGAGTAAGAATGGGGTAGAAAATGTGGGGGTGGGTATCCTGAGTGTTGGAAGGAAGAGCCCCTGGGTTTTCTCCCTGTTATTATTTTTTTCTGTTATTATTTTTTAGCACTCTACCATTTGAGCCACAGCTCCACTTTGGCTTTTTGGTGGTTAACTGGTGAAAAGTCTCACAGACGTTCTTGCCCAGGATGACTTCTAATGATGATCCTCAGCTCTCAGCCTCCTGAGTAGCTAGGATTACAGGCGTGAGCCATTGGTGCCCAGCCAGGTGTCGAGGGGCTGCACGGTGAGGGCTAGGACTGGAATGTGAACCCAGGGGCTTCTCACTGCTGAGACCCCAACCTTCATGTGTTTCTGCTGCCCACTCCACTGCCCAGAGCTCAGGAATTGATTCCATCGTTCCTGGGTGACCCCTTCCCTCCCTCCTCTCCCCTCCCCCATTGATTCTGCTCCAGCAGAAACCGGCACCAGACCTGGGTCTCCATCTGTGGCTGTGTGTGGCTCGGCTGGGCCAGTCCGGTGGGCTTCCTGCAGCTCCCCAGGGTGACAGCTCCCACCACACCACTCCCTGTCCCCCTGCACAGGCCACCGAGCCCTGGGAGCAGAGCCCAGGCAATCCCGACCATCGGCTCCTCCTCCCCTGGGACCTGCAAGGACCAAGGCTGAGATGCAGAGACATCTTTCCAGGAATCCCAGAGGAGGCTGGAAAATGCTAATGATCGCATTAATTAATTAATTGATGGGATTGATACAGATAGTACCTTAATGCTGATTCACTGAGAGTTCAGTAATAGAATTTTCCTATAATGATATATAATAATTCCTATAATAAATGCATCTTAGTCAATAAGCAGTAAAACACCAATGGTAAGACAGTGACAGGAAGGGGAGGTCCAGCCCTCTCTCCAGAAGTGGCCGGAACACGAGGGCCTGCATCCTGGCCCTCCCTCTCCAGGTTTCCTGACCCCCACAAGTGGCTTCTTCAAGTGGC